GGGAAGGTTCTCCAGCTTCTCTTCCCCAGTGCACAGTTCATGGGCAGTGGTTGGTGAAGTGAGATCTTCAAGGAAGCAATTGAATGCTTGCTCCCAGAAATCTTTCAGAAAACCGTCCTCTTGGTTCCAGTTAGGTTTTACCCTCTGGAGAAACTCTCTGAACCCTGGAGGATCCTTGGATGGAATTGTAACCGAAATGGCACCTTGGAAGAGCTGCAGATCCCAACCATGTTGAAAGCCCTTGAGTATGAAATCAATCTGTGCTGTCACAATCCACACTTTCCTGAAGGACATTGTTGTATTCTCTCTCAGATCTTTCACAAACTGAGCAGTTCTTATCCACACAATTATTAATGATTCTCCATATAGGATTAATGCACTGACTTTGCTATTTGTGAAAATCCCATATATCTCTAATAGAAAATGACTGATTTTATCAGCATCATCAAGAGCGGCCTGTTGTGAAATGCTTTTTGTAAAGGCGGAACAAATCCCATTCTGAGAAAGTAGTTCCTCCAGGACTTTCATGAAATTTTCTCCACTGTTTGTACCTTCAACAACGACACCAATCCACATCCACCCAAAATGCTGAAGTAACCTGATAATCCCGATGTACTGACTGTCTTCATATGGGACCATGTGGTAAAAGGAATGCATCTGTATGGTCTCCTTCTGTGTCGGTGCAATTGAGCCATATGTGAGCTAAATGGAGATCAGACATTTTAGAGATCAGTTAGATTACGCCTACTTTTTCCTAGCTGAATGTGATTTTCTTAAGTCCTCGCACCGTTTTCTCCAACAGTTCAAGGGGTAATTTATGTTCAGTGATGTGTTCAAGTCCTTAACTTCAAATCTCAAGTCAAGTCTCAAGTATCTACATTAAAGTCCATATTGAGTCTCAAGTCATTGCAAGAATTGTTCAAGTCTCAAGTCTCTTCCCAGATTTTATTGGAAGCATTTCTTTGAAAAATCTGTACACATAGAACTTTACAGAGATATCAGTCTGATCAGGTCTAGGAATGCCTTTAGCTGAACATCTTGAATGTTTTGAACTATGAAGTTCTTCACCTAACGATAAAATTGGAAATTGAAATTTCTACACACTTAGAACTTAAAAGAGATAATAGTATCTGATCAGATTTGGGATTCCTTTCATTGCAGCCAAAAACCTCAGACTTTTTGGACCAGCAAGTTCTTCATATAAAGATAAAATAGGAGTGAAATTTCCCCATACACATAGAGACAAACAGATCCTACCTGTGGAATTTTGTAGTAACCTGAAATACCTGCCATATTCACAGAGGTATCAAGGCCAAGTCCTCCAATGGCTGCTACAAGGTTTTTCTGGATGCCGCATTTGTAATTGGGCACAAACCTATGAGATTTGAAAACAAGATCCAGAGTGGTACGATATGTCATCCTTGCATCATAGTAGCTGTCCTGGATATGGAATCCAAGGGTGACATTGGGCAAGATCCTGGGATCCTTGTTGATCTCCTCCACAGCAAATGCCAAGGCCAGGGCATGCTGGTAGAATTTCGTTACCATACTGCAACAGAGTGAGTTGATTACATCCGAAGAAAACTCTGAAATGCTGCAGAACATCATTCATTTGTGAGCCCTTGGATGCAATCCCGTTCATGTCTATACAGTGGGAAGCCTACCCCAGTTTGCATGCTCAGCCAGCCGTGTTACGTGTGAAATGCTAGAAGCTGCAGAAGGCTATTCTATCCAAGCATGCATAGAGCTGCATTCTTAGCTTAGTTCCATTGTTAAAAATACTCTTATAAAAATTTGTCTTCAGTGCAAAACTATTTTTTGCATCAAAAACCTGGCATGGTGCATTGCATGGCACTTTACCATACTCTTTTTCTTGCTATTCTGTGTAACCTGTTCCAGTCCAACTTACGACAACCCTGTGATCGAAAACCCTCCAAGGTGTCTTTAAGACCTCAGCTCTGTAACCTCAAGGCTGTGGATCCTTTTGTGGAATCAATCCAACAGCTATTTGCGATGGGAAAAACCAATATGCCTTTTGTTTCACCATTTTGCAATTCATATCACGTAGTCTTTGTGTTACCGTGATGTTCATAAAATAGCAGGCAGAGGATAATTACTTACTCCAACACCTCAAATATTTCCTGAGAAGGTTGTTCCTGGAAGTCAACTCCACTGAAGCCAGTAGCGATCAGAGAAACCATCTCACCAACAATGAGACCACTGGGCTGATACCACTCTTGTGGAACTGGGAGGGGATCCATCATGGAGCATTGCATGGTATCACATTTGCTCACCATGTGTGGCAGGAAAAGCTGGAATACCAGTAGGGTCAGCATACTCCTGGTGAAGTTTCTCTCTAGACAGCCTTTTCTCTGTTTTTCCAGAGGAATAACATGATTTCAACACCAAACATTGTGCTCTGTCAAGATACCCCTTCAGATAAAGTCATCAGAATTACGTTTTGCCATGGCAACAGATGCAAAGGCATGCCTTGTGTCCTAGCACAGATTGCAAGAAATTCTGTTGTATATCTGCTCCGTGATGGAAAAAGGTTTAATGGAGACCTGAAATCGAGTGAGCCCTGCCTTCTGCTTGTCCAAAGTCACAGCTCTCCATGGCTCAGGGGTTTATTTCAAAGAACATTCAGACCTGTTTATCTATTGCTTGATTTTTACTATCTTCCTCAAACCTTTGACACATTTGTGCAGAGACAAATTATATTCATCTAGTTAATCCCAAAGGGAATCATTGAATTCTATTTTCTTTTGGTCCTGAGTGTCTGTTTGGCACAAATACCTTTGTTTTCCTTCACTTTTCCCCTCCATCCTTCCTTGCTTTTTTTCTCATATATGAGGAC